ACCATGCTTTCGAAAGTATCCTCACTGGAAATCACGAATGCGAGTGGTCCAAATGGATTACCACCAGCACTTACTCAAAAAAAATCACCCAAAATATCTGTGAAACTCTATATAAAGTCATGAGCATTGCATCAAAAACACCAATTCACAAAAGGGCGAAAGGCGAAGGGTGCAAAATTACCAAACAGTTTCACTGCTAAATGTCATCGGCAAAATGCTGGAAAGATAAATCTATTTAACTCTATATGAACGTTTCAACGTATTTCTAACACGTCATCAACACGGATTTGTCAAAAAAGATCCCTCTTAACAAACATGCTATCTGTGTTAAAAAGGAAACATGAAGCACTAGATAAGGATCCTAAATCAAAAATCGTCTCGTCGCATTTTACACAGATTTGAAAAACGTTTATTGAAATACCTAAGTGAATAAACAACAGATCAAAAACGATCTCTCCTATGCCCTCTACTCTTTTTAATAAGTGCATTTTAATAAGTGAACTACCCACCGCATTATCTGATCCTTTTATTTTTGCTGACAATCTTAAAATATTAATGTAAACAAACTCACCGCATTATCTGGTCCTTTTTTTAGTTATAACCTTAAAATTTTGATGTAAACAAAGATGAATGGTAAGTGCAGAAAGATCTATATAAGATACTTGGTTAAGCTAAAAAAAAAATGAAACAAAAATGGAAAACGTGCCAAAGTAACATTTAGAGGAGCAGAATTCAGCTAAAAAATGGGCGCGGAACTAGAACTCGAACTTAAAAAAGATCTAGGAATCCACGTAATAGATTACCTGTCTTAAAAAAATCAATTGAAGAATGTTTAAGGAAAGCAAATAAAGTCCTCTAGATGCTCAGAAGAAATGAAGCAATGGGATTAAAAATCAACGTCCAACTCGGTCTATACAAATTACGAATACCACCAGTCCTTCTATACAGTTTTTCATGCGTATCTGCGTCAGGAAAAAAAATCCTTCTTCTTGAACGTTTTCGAAAGAAAGCCGTCAGATGGATAACATGTCAAATGGACTTTAAATATATCCATCACTTGCGAAACCTCAACATTTTTCCATTACCAAAATTTCTCCAAATCAAAACGATATCTTGCTCATTTCAAAACTTATGAATGAATGAAGCGATTGCATCAGATAACCGAATAATCAATCTTCCTTTCGAAAAACCAATGAAATTTTTTGTCTCCGAGAAACGAGGATAGAAAAAGCCCGAGTAGAGTTAACATTCAGATGAAAAACCTTGAATTCACCACATTGAAGAGTGTTTAAGGCAAGCTAATAACGTCCTCTAAGTGCTCAGAAGAAGACGAATAACTTAAATAACCAGAAATTTATCTATTTATCATAAACAAAATGAGAAGTTGGGAAAAAAGCTGCTGAGAAGTTACGCATAAGTTTCGAGATATCTGTATGGAAAAAACCGTCTATAACTTCTATGAGTAACCACAGATGTTGGCGGGAGTCTTTTGCGGAGTGTCGTCTGCGCAAAACAAGAGCGCTCTGGAATAAGTTTTTTCAGCACGTGTTCAGACTGGGTTGAAATCCTCTCGAAAAAAAAACAAGCATATCTTTCTTGTAGAATGGTTTTCATCGTTTTGAATTCCTCCAAGATACCCAAATGCACAGCTTTTCTCTGAACACTGTCCAACTTGTTCAGTTGTGCTTGACTCACTCCACCCCAAACGCTCAAGCAATAGGTCAAAACAGACAGAACCAGCGACTGATGAAATGCAGCAATGGGATTAAAAAATGGGTTCAGTTCGATCTATACAAATCACGAATACTAGCAGTTATTTTATGCAGTTTTTCATGCGTATCTGCGTCGAGAATAGAAACCCGTCATCTTAAACGTTTTCAAAAAAGCCGTCAATTGGTTAACTAGACTCTAGACAATTGAATTTTAAATATGTCAATCAATTGCGAAACGTTAACAGTTTTCCATTACCAAAGTTTCTCTAAAAAAAACGATATCTTGCTCCTTTCGAAACTTATAAAAGAAGGAAGCAATTTTATCAGATTACCGAAATCAAATATCGTCTTTAAGAACGGAAGAAATTTTTTGACTACGAAAAACGAGGCCAGAAAAAAATCAGAGGGGAGTTTACATTCATATCCTGAACACTCGTGAACATAATCCAGAAACAAGTTGGCAATAATGAGATCAGGTTCAAAAATAGGCTCTATCTTATGATAGTAAAGTGTCTCATAACTCAAGTGTCTCGCAATTACAATTTCATAGGCGACTATACTTGAAGCCAAATAAAACCGAAAAATCCACCACTGACATAAAACGACATCAAAAGGACCATGCTTTCAAATGTATCCTCACTGGAAATCACGAATGCGCGTGGTCTAAATGGATTACCACCATCACTTATTCAAAAAAAATTACCCAAAATATCTGTGAAACTCTATATAAAGTCATGAGCATTGCATCAATAACACCAATTCACAAAAGGGCGAAGGGTGCAAAATTACCAAACAGTTTAACTGCTAAATGTCATCGGCAAAATGCTGGACAGATGAATCTATATAACTCTTTATGAACGTTTCAACGTATTTCTACCACCTCATCAACACGGATTTGTCAAAAAAGATCCGTCTTAACAAACATGCTATCTGTGTTAAAATTGAAACATGAAGCACTAGATAAGGATCCTGAAACAAAAATAGTCTCGTCGCATTTTACACAGATTTCAAAAAACGTTTATTAAAATGCCTAACCTCAAAGTGAATAAACAACTGATCAAAAAAGATCTCTCCTATGCCCTCTACTCTTGCATTTTTATAAGTGAACTACCTACCGCATTATCTGATCCTTTTATTTTTGCTGACAATCTTAAAGTAATAATGTAAACAAACCCACCGCCTTATCTGGTCCTTTTCTTTTTAGTTATAACCTTAAAATATTAATGTAAACAACAATGAATGAAAAGTGCAGAAAGATCTATATAGGATACTTGGTTAAGCTAAACAAAAATGAACCAAAAATGGAAAATATGCCAATGTAGCATTTAGGGGAGCAGAATTCAGCTTAAAAATAGGCGCGAAACTAGAACTCGAACTTAAGAAAGATCTAGGAATCCACGTACTAGAAGACCTGTCTTGAAAAAATCAATTGAAGAATGTTTAAGGAAAGCAAATAAAGTTCTCTAGATGCTCAGAAGAAATGAAGCAATGGGATTTTAAAAAATCAACGTCCAACTCGGTCTATACAAATTACGAATACTTACAGTCCTTTTATACAGTTTTTCATGCGCATCTGCGTCAGGAATAGAAATCCTTCTTCTTGAACGTTTTCGAAAGAAAGCTGTCAAATGGATAACATGTCAAATTGACTTTAAATATATCCATCACTTGCGAAACCTCAACATTTTTCCATTACCAAAATTTCGAAGAACTAATGAGATTTTTAGTCTCCGAGAAACGAGGATAGAAAAAGCCCGAGGGGAGTTAACATTCAGATTAAAAACCTTGAATTAACCACATTGAAGAGTGTTTAAGGCAAGCTAATAACGTCCTCTAAGTGCTCAGAAAAAGAAGATCTTAATTAACCAGAAATCTATCTAGTTATCATATACAAAATGAAAAGTTGGGAAAAAAAGCTGCTGAGAATTTACGCATAAGTTTCGAGATATCTGTCTGGAAAAAACCGTCTATATTTTCCATGAGTAACCACAGATGTTGGCGGGAGTCTTTTGCGGAGTGTCGTCTGCGCAAAACAAGAGCGCTCTGGAATGAGTTTTTCAGTTGTGCTTGACTCACTCCACCCCAAACGCTCAAGCAATAGGTCAAAACAGACAGAACCAGCGACTGATGAAATGCAGCAATGGGATTAAAAATCAATGTTCAACTCGATCTATACAAATCACGAATACTACCAGTCATTTTATACAGCTTTTCATGCGTATCTGCGTCGAGAATAGAAACCCGTCTTCTTAAACGTTTTCAAAAAAAGCCGTCAATTGGTAACTAGACAATCTAGACAATTGAATTTTAAATATGTCAATCAATTGCGAAACGTTGACACTTTTCCATTACCAAAGTTTCTCTAAAAAAAAAACGATATCTTGCTCATTTCGAAACTTATAAAAGAAGGAAGCGATTTTATCAGATAACCGAAATCAAATATCGTCTCGAAGAACGGATGAAATTTTTGGTCTACGAAAAACGAGGACATAAAAAATCAGAGGGGAGTTTACATTCAGATCATGAAGACTCGTGAACATAATCCAGAAATACGTTGGCAATAATGAGATCAGGTTCAAAAATAAGTTGGAAATAATTAGCTTACAAAAGTTTTCCAAAAAAAACGTTTGCACCTGGCAAATTATTTGCGATAGCAACAGATGCAGAAGTATATGGACATAATTTTAGACTGTGGCCGGGACACAGAGCCCTGCAATCCCCATCAATCATCAACAATAATAATACTATTTCAAATTCCATATAGATTCTTTGACTTATGAAAAGCCAAAAAAAAACGACCTAAATAGGTCAGTTTCTCTTCACAGCAACATAAATCAGAAGATCAAAAAATACTATGACAACCGATGTTACCTCATTGGTCCTTCATCATTTCACTCAAAACAACATTGTAATTTCCTAAATTAGATAAAAGTAAAGTAAAATTTGAATAAAAGTAGAGAGTCAGTTGACTGGGAATCAAGCCAACCAGATTGAGAAAACTAACACATGCACAGAATAAACCGGAGTTGAAAAAATCTCCAGAAGATTAACCTGGTATGAGGCTACGTGTCTATCACATAACTATACTAAACTGCGCTTTTTTCTTCTTGGCTCTACAGATAAAAAACTTCTTCGAAAGTAGTTCAGTGATTAATAGTTCCGAGTACACAGGCAGCGTTCGCACCCTGTATTACGGGGGAGATTCTATGCTTAAGAAAACTACCTGCCCTGGGTTTCTCAGGACATGTGCTCAAGCTCGTTACAGCAACTAGAACTCAAAATACTAACTTGTCCTAAGTCACTCAACAAAACATCGCCTTCCATTTCTCGTTCCAAAGCAATATCCAGCATACTCTGACTGATATCACATCCTACCCAGAAATGTCCATTTTCTTCTAAGACTTCTCCACTAAGTCCTGATCCACACCCTAGGTCCAAAATTAACGCAGGACTATCGCAAGGTAATGCTAGTAATTCAAGTGCACGCTCAGACATCTGTTGTTGGATCTCAATGATTCTAGTATTTGAGGTATATTTATTGGCTTCATTTGCATCATAAAAAAGCTCGGGCGGTCCCGAGTCTTCTGGTCTTGGCATAGCTGTCTAAAATCAAACAACGAACACATTGGTGACAGCAATGTAATTTCCTAGATCTGATTGAAAAGAGAGCAGCCAGTTGCTATGCAAGCAGAACAGTGTCACAGTTATTTCGAAAAAAAAATTGTTGCTTTATTTTTGAAAAATTTATTAAATAGTCTTTTTCATTTAATACTGGTTATCCGAGGTCAACGATGGCATGCAAAGTGTAAAACTCTTCCGGAAAGTACATAACAACGGAAAGTTAAACTTAACGGAAAGGATTGGCGAGCGACAACATTGAGTCTAACGTGCTTTTAACCATCCCTACCAAAGCCAATTCGAAGTAGTCCTTCATATGATCCGCTCAACGAAAGTATCACGGTCTAAAGGCTATTGGCTGAACTATGCAAATAAACTACTAACATGCAAAAAAGAGCTTATGGCTGGTTCGTTTTCGTGCATATTTCAGCAATGCAAGCAGCGTTTCCACTCTGTACTGCTATGCTCAAACTCTGCTTAACCTAATTGTTGTAATAAACTTATTAAAAAGTTTCATATATCATATGTGACTGAGTCATGAAGACGAGAGGCCATAGTACAAGTGACTCCAACCTCAATTGCCCTCATTGCGCAACCCTGGTAGATGAGTCAGTAGTATCATAGTAACCAAGGTTACAGTCATGAGTCCCTTCATCATATATTCCAGTCAAAATCCTTGGAATTTTCTAGATATGGAAGTGATAATGATAAAAGAAGATGACAAGTGTTTAAGTCTTTTTCAATTAAAATCGATATGGGTTACTTTTCTTCAATAAGAACACGCAACTCGACAATGAATGCAAAAATGCCACGAAGAAGCTTTGCAAGATGGAAATCACAACAGATATGGAATTCAAACACGAAGTGCAAGCCAGCCTCAACATCAAACAAACAATCCTTAACATCAAAAAAGTCTTCTTCATTATCTTATGATTCGGTAGCTAATCATCATGTTAGCCTCCCTAATAACCAACCTGAAGAAATCCAACCTTCAACCTCACAATACTTTCAGTGCACCTACTATGAAACTCGTATATCTGATCTTAATGAATTTAAAGAAACTTTTTCTTTACAGAGCCAAAGCCAAGGGAACAAAAGCGCAGCTTTATATCAGTATATGAGAGATCCGTAGCCTCATATCAATTCAGTCTTTTTGAGTCACTTTCAACTCTGGTTTATTCTGTGTAAGTGTTAGTTTTCTCAATCTGGTTGGTTTGATTCCCAAACATCTGACTCTCTTTACTTCACGGTTTTTTACTTCACGGTTTTTAACTGCGAACATTATTAAATAGTTTCAGATACTTGAAATGTTTACCGGGGTAGCAATGGTTGCCCCGCGATAAAATTTTTTTTTTTTTTTTTTTTTTTTTTTTAATTGATAAACAAATTCAATAGTTGTAAAAACAGCAAAGGTTAAAAAGCAGTTGGCTTATAGCCCGTTGAGTTAACTTCTAAAGCTTCCAGTAAGCAGGCAGCATTACCGCGTTGCAGTGCAATGCCGAGTCTTTGTTTGAGGAACGTGAATGACCTTTTCTCACCAGTGGTCGTCTTGATTCTATAGGAAATAGAGGATAGAGTTTTGTATGTCGAGCTTCCGATGCCACCAAGATGTTCCACGGCGATGGGCTCGAACATGCAGTTGCGTGGCAGACCAGAATAGTGTTGGCGCTTACGAAATTCAGCATGGTTAGCAACAGTGGGACCATCTTCGAGGCCTGTTGATAGATTTGACTGTGCTTGTCGGTTTACACAGGTAAAGTCCCAGACTAAAGCTGCGCCATTTTTCCATGGAACTAAAGTAGCACCGTCTGGTCTTTTACCATCGTCACGCAGCATACCGGTCGGCTCGAGTTTGCTGTGTACTCCTGCTGATTTCAACGCGTCTCTGATGACTTCATTACCAAGTTGATGCCTGATGAAACGACTTTTGATTTTCGGGCATATAAGTGGATGAATGCCTTGGCTGTCGCATTTAGTGCCACATGCACAGTTGCATGAAAAAAGAAGGGGGGCACCAAGGCGAAGTCCCGTAGCAATTCTGAAAGCGTCATCAGTCAGCTGGAGACCGAGCGTATCAGACGGAATAGCAGCAAGCCAGTCTCCGGAACCGGGAACAGAGCATCCTTGTAAACGAACTTTGTCACTGTCACAGGTGGTGTTAGCTAGGAGAGACGACCGCCTACGAGAAACAATAGGAGTGTACCAGCTTTTCTGCCACTTATGCTTGTCTTCCAGTGGCATATCAGGAGAAACAGTTTCAGACCACAGTTCAATGGCATTCTTGAAGGACTTGCTGGTGTATTGAGACGCAATGACTTTGAAGACGTCTTCACTGGTGGCGAGTGTAGACGAAATATAGGCAGCCAAAGTAAGGTCCGAAGGTGACTGTAAGCCTAGACCACCGAGTTTGATAGGCAATGTGAGCTGATCCCATTCTCTGTTGGTAATCAGAATGTTACTGACAGTTTGAACAGCTCCACGGATATAAGAGGTGATTTTTTCAACAGAGTTCATAAAAACAAAAGTAGGAGCAGTGCGGAACAAATACATGAGCTTAGGCATGGCAAAACAATGTCGGAGCAGGAAAAAAGCGACGTGTGAAGGCAGTAACGGAAGATTCTTGCAGAGGTTTTCGATTTTCTCTCTCTTCTCTTCCAATGCATGCTGTAAAGCTGCATGGCCCAGAGGGCTTCCTAGCAGTTCAGCGTCTTCGGTGCTCACGCTGCTGATACCAGGACAGACACGTCTGAATTCACGTAAAATCATATCGCTCTTTTGCTGGTCTTGAGTGAAGACAGTGATTTCACATTTGGTGTTATTGAGGTTTAACCCGAGACCTTTGGCACTGTCAATGAACTTGGCGAGGTCACGCAAAACTATCTGCCACTTGTCTCCAGCACTGATGTCGTCCATGTAACCGACCTTGAACTTGGATGAGATTGCAGTGAGACAGCGATGCACTCCGAGACAGAAACCAAAAGACGCAATTGGGTCCCCCTGTTGGAAACCTTCTCTCGATAGCAAAGTGTGGTCACCATAAACAAGGAAACTCTCCCGCTCGTAGCACATGTTGAAAAAAGGCAAAAGCTCAGGGCAAAACTCTTCGAAAGCAAAAGCAATACTGTCACGACGCATGGTGTTGAAAGCATTGCTGAAATCCAACTTGAGGAAAACGTCATCGTCTGAAGCTAACTCGAAGAAGGAGCGAGCAGCATGGACCGCAACTTCGGCACCATTTTTCGCACCAGCACCAAGTTGAAAGGGACTGAAAAACTCCTTGAACCTCGCTGTTTCGTACTGACCAGCACATTTACCTGCAATCCTGCGCCAGACTTCTCCCACAGCAATGGGCCTCAGGTCATCTACTTTTCCTTTTTTGGCAAGCGTCGTCAAGTTGGCTGCCGCAAAAACTGGTCTAATGAAATCTGGGGCTTTGCCAGCAAGCATCAAATTGACAAAATCCGTAAGAGTGTCCAGGAACGTGTTGCCTGCGTCGATGGAATGTGAAGAAAGGGCGTCTTTGATATGTTGCGGTCGGACACCACTGGGTCCACCTGCTGAGCCATTGGGGAAACTCTGGATAGCGCTGTGAACTGCAGAACTAGTCACTTGCAGGGGTTCATACTGGTGGCACTGTGGGAATGGCTGTCTGTCCAGTGCAGGAGGAGGATGCTTTTTCTCCAGGATTTTGACACTTTTGTCACTTGGGGGGACAACAGACTTATCCGAGGAAGCTATTCTAACGGCAGCTTTGATGTTCCCCTCATTAATCTTTTCACAAACAAGCCTTGCAAGTTTTTCTGCATCTGTGTTTTTCCCTGCAGAAGGACTACGGTGGGCCGGCTCAGGAATAATGAGGGTATCTGCTACGCTAAAAGCATCGATTTGTCGCTTTATCAATGTTGTTAAACTGGTCTTCTTAGCACACCCGGCGCGTGCGGGAGCTTTCAGGCATCTGTACGCAGCCGTGAAAAGTTGAACCCACGCCATTTTATTGTCAGGGTCGTTGAGGATATCTCGCAAAACCTTGTTAAGAGTTTGTGCAAAAAGAAACCTTGCAGCTTTTGGCACATACTTGACAGTTTTGCACTGGAAAGCTCTCACCGCTTTGATGAAATCCTGAGAAGTGAAAGAGTGGGGGTCTGTAGCAGTTGCGCTGTGTTCACGTTCTTCAGATGGGGATTTGTTGGAATACGGGCACCGACTTCCCACTGGTCCATGGACGCGTAGAGAACCATTCTTCTGAACCACAATAGACATGCTACATCCAGGACAGTTTATGCGTTTGGTGTCTTTGCGTCGGCAGTTTGGGCAGCTGTAGTTGTATAAGCTGGCATTCTCTATTGGTAGCCCAGCACAGATCGAGTGAGACCAGGAGTTGCATTCATCACACTGTACCCAGTCTCGAGATTGATCACCGCTTGCTTGGCACGGTCTGTGTGAGCAGGACGTATCCGCATCGTCAGTCTGGGGGCTACCACGGTTGCCCCTCCTGCTTCTACGCATTTCTCCTGAAGCTATTTTCTAGTATTAGAAAATAGCTATTTCACTTACTAGTATTAGAAGGCACAATAGATTTGCTTCCATGCTTAGATTCATTCTTTCTAAGCTATCTAAGAGATCAAACTTTTTAATATCCTTAGACACGCCATTTCTTGGTTCTTAATTCAGTTCCAGCCTTTCATTGAACAATTCTATTTAATAAGTTTATCACAACAATTAGGCTCACAACAGTTTCAGATACTTGAAATGTTTACCGGGGTAGCAATGGTTGCCCCGCGATAAAATGTCCGACAGAAGATATCACTTGCTCAAGACATCATCTTCAAAAAATCTCCTGATTGCGGATTCTCATGCACGCCATCTTGATTTTCCAAATTTCAATATCTTGTCCCTACCTGGGGCCCGAATTGGTGCGGTCCAAAACTTCTTACCCGAGAAAGACAAATTCAACATCATCGCTCTGCTCATCGGCGGAAACGACGCCTTCAACGGAAAAGACCCCTCCAGTATACCTGCAGGCGACATTGCTGAAGAACTGTCGAAGCTAGCCGAGGAGCTGTGTGAACGAGCCAAAAAAGTTTTCGTCATCGGAATCCCTCATCGTAGTGAGAACCGAGCTCGATCTGCAAAAATAAACGAATTCCTAAAAAGATAAAAGGAACTTGGAAGTTTAGAGGAGTGAGTGAAAAAATCCACAGCTCATATCATTTGAAAACTGACGAAGTGCACCTCAGTGAAGAAGGTCTGAAGGGCATTAAAAGTATTCTCAAGAATAAAATCTTATACGATAAACATTCGAACATCTGCAATACAGAAGGACATCTGGTATATTACGAGTGTCGTTTCAAGAACTGTCAGTGCCCCTATTAACGTAAGTAGAAATAGTGAACCGCAGGCCTCCCCTTTTCGGGAACCACCAGGTTTGTCTATTTCTTCTTTTTCCCCTGAGTGAGCCACAGGCCTCCCCTTTTCGGGAACCACCAGGTTTAACTAATTTTCTATCCATAGTATAAGCAAAAATGGGCAAAAACTGCAAAACATGTAAAAGAGGCTTTGCCGGCAACGAGAAAACATACACTTGTGTCGCATGCAACGCTCAAATGCATTTGGAACCAACTTGTGTTGGGTTGTCTCTAGTGGCCATAAATGGAATAAAAGAACTAGGGCCGAATGTCATGTTGCTTTGTAATACTTAAGTGCAAAATAATGAACGAGACAACTTTATAAGATGCAAAACCCTGGCCAACATAGACGAGAAGCTCTCAAACATTGATGTAACTGAAAGCCTTAAAAGCATGGAAAGAAGACTTACCGATTTAGTAGATCAAAAAATTGGAAATGCAATGAAAACGACATGCGATAAAGTGGAAAAAACTTATAGTGCCGTTGTAGCTGCTGAAACCACCACCCGGATAAATCAAGCTCAAACCACTCAACATGCTGCCAGATCTAACTCTGATCACAACATAAATCAAAGTTTTAGGATACAAGGGGTCAAAGAGGACCCTGAGAAAACAAAAGGAGAAAACCTTGTCCCAACAAATGACGAAGTAAACGAAATACTAGACATAATTGGAGTGAAGCCGAAAATAATAGAACTAAAACGACTGGGAAAATTTGATCGTAATCGAATGAAGCCAAGAACACTGCTGGTAACTGTACCTAGCGAACATGAAGCACGACTAGTACTAGCAAAAAGCCGAGAAAAGCGAGAACAATTGGTCGAAAAAGAGGTCTACCTGCTACCAGCATTGACCAAAGAGAGTGCAATTAAAGAGAACGAAATCCTTAAGAAACGAAGACAACTACTAGATGAAGGCGTTCCTCGCGAAAAGCTGAAAATAAGGAATCTAGAATTGTTCAATGATGGTGTGAAAGTAACTATTGACACTGAAGTTCAGGAACCCCAGCATTGACTAGGATTCCTCAACATTCTGCAACTAAATACTAGAAGCCTAATCAACATAGAGAGAAGAACTAAGCTAGCAAATGCAATTGCAGTTGGAAATTTTAATGTCATATGCTTAAGCGAAACTTGGCTTAACGAGAATATTCAATCATCAGAGCTTTTTCTAAGTGAATATAACATCTATAGATCTGATAGAGCTATTGTGAGTGGTAAAAACTGTCACGGAGGCAGCCTAATAGCTGTCAAGAATAGTCTAATTACCGAGGACTTATCCACCAAACATGACATTCCTGATTCATGTGTGCTATGTAGTATAAAACTTCATCAAACTGAAATGATAATTGGCTCATTCTACAATCCGCCAAAAAACAGTAATTACAGATACAAAGTGCATGAATTTGAACAACTGATCAAAGCCATTCCTAAAAACAAAACGCTTCTCTTATGTGGGGATTTAAATTTCCCAGAAACAAACTGGAACACCCTCACCAGTACTGACGAGGAAGAAAACCAAATACTGCAAATTTTTGAAAATGGACTCTTTAGGCAGGCGATAGGTTTCCCAACATGTGTGAAGAACATACTAGACGTAGCCTTCTATCGGAATTGCTATACAAGTGCCGAACAAGATTTTAACGTTTCCAAGATTTATGACTGCTCAGATCACAATGCCATAATGTTGTCTATTGAATGCACGGTATCAGAGCCGAAACCATACTTGGAAAATTTTAGAAGTTTTGGAAATGCCGATTTTGAAGGAATAAACAATTTTATAAACGAGAACCCATTTGAACCAGTATGCCACACAAACATTAACAAAATGCATGAGGAGTACACCCAATATTTGGATGAAATCATTAAGAGTTTTGTGCCTCTCAGAACAAGACATAGGAAATCACTTCCACCTTGGATAACAAGTAGCACTTCAAATTTGATCAAAAAGTTACAAACAAAACGGCAATCATGTATACTCAAACCGACCAACTACAGAAGACAACAAGTTAAACTGTTTGAAAATTTAGTAACTGAATCATCGGAATTGGACAGGAAAAACTACCAAGAGGAATTGTTTAGAACACGGAACACTAATGTAATTTTTAAACACCTAAAGAACTTGAATAAACATACAAGTCTTCCTAAGTTACTCATAAAAGATGAAGTTGAAAGCACAAATCCAAACGAACAAGTCAACATGCTAAACGACTTCTTTCATTCAGTTTTTAATCCTAAAGAAAGTTTTAGTTTTTGAGATATTCAATTTGAAAATCCCTTGTTAACGAATTTTGATATATCGAAAAAGACAGTAAGTGAGATTTTATCAACTCTGGACGTAACAAAGTCACGCGGCCCAAATGGGTTGCCACCTAGCTTTTTTCAGAAAACGAACCGCAATATATGCAAACCGATGAACAAACTTTTGAGAAACATAAAACGCCTACGAAAAATACCTGATTCATGGAAAACAGCTGCAGTTACTCCTGTTCACAAAAAAGGTGACAGAAAAATGGTGAACAACTATCGACCAGTATCGCTATTAAATATTGACAGCAAAGTCCTTGAAAAATGTATATACAAAGACCTGTACCCTTACTTTGCCTGGTATTTGACGAAACATCAACACGGTTTTACTAAAGGTAGATCAGTTTTGACAAACATGCTCTCTTTCCTGAAAGAAATATATGAAGCGCTTGACAATGACTCAAACGCAGAAATTGTAGCAGTCTACTTTGACTTTGCAAAAGCCTTTGATAAAGTTCCGCATTTTGATCTACTTAAGAAAGTTGCACTTATAGGAATAGGAGGCTGCATGTTAGAGGTACTCTATGACTATTTGAAAAACAGGAAACAGTTTGTACGAGTAGACAATATCAGCTCAAAAGTTTTAGAAGTCACTAGTGGTGTTCCCCAAGGATCACTTTTAGGACCACTGCTCTTTTGCATTTTTATTAACGACCTACCTGAAGTACTCAAATTCTCTGAACCATATATTTTTGCGGATGATCTTAAATTACTTTCCATCAAAAAAACATCAATTGAAATTCAAGAAGATCTGGACAAAATTCAGCAGTGGGTAACTGAAAACAAAATGGAATTAGCACTAGATAAATGTGCAAAAGTAAGTTTTAGGGGCGGAGACGCTAACTCTATGCTTTTTGGTGTAGTGCTTGGAACATCGATGGTTGTGAAAGATCTGGGAATTTTTGTGTCGGGCGATTTAAGTTGGAAGGTACACATTGAAACAAGATTAAAGAAGGCAAACCAAGTACTGTACCTCCTGAGAAGAAACCTATCAGCAAAGATAAATACGTTTGTAAAGTTAGGCCTGTATAAGTCACTAATACTCCCAGTGTTATTATACGGACTCTCATGTACACATATATCGAGGGGGGATCAATTGCAGTTGGAGCGATTTCAAAAGAAAGTAATCCGTTGGATCACTGGAAATAAAACGGGAGTGTACATCAACTAACTACGCTTGCTAAACATTTTACCCCTGCCCATGTTCATCCAGCTAAATAACATCTTACTTCTTGCCAGTCTTGATTCTAATGAACGAAATGAAATAGTGTTAAACAGGCGAACCACACGGGCTAGAAATACAGAAATGTTTGAGATGCGAAAAGTGAGAACGGGAAAAGCGAGAAACGAATTTGTTTTCAGAACCAGTAGGATTGTAAATCGATTAGAGCCATATATTCATTTTGATAAACGAATCGGCCTCAAGACGAGAATTTTAAACACGATGTGGAAATTTGTAAACGAGAGATTTTCAGAAATGACAACGTGCATGTGGCAATTATTCTGTGATTGTATCACGTGCAGAAACAAGTGGACATTGTTTTAGAGAAGACACCGGGACCAAGAATCCCAACAGCAGTGCTGTGAATCCCCAACAACAACAACAACAACAACTTCAACCCACAATATAAATTGTAAAAAAAATCAATTAAGAAACGAAAATAAACAATTTAGTCAGGACATATGAAGAAAAAGTTAGCTGTTTTTGAGTGCCGGCTCAAGCACACAGATGGCGTTGCCACGTTGCGCAGCAATGCCCAGCCGTTGTCTTAAAAAAAGAAAACTGCGTTTTTCATGAGTTTTGAAAAAAGAAGTCAATTAAATTGAACAAGAAATAAAAAGAGCGTATGTACCGCACAGTTTACAGTTGAAGCAGTAAAGCGAAGGGTGTGTGTCAACTAGTTGCCTCAAGGATGCATCCAGCGTTCCCGCGCTGAATCGCTAGGTCTAGCTTTTGTTTGAGAAATTTAAAAGCTAGTTTCTCACCTGTGTGCCATTCTGCCAGATAGGC